TCTCAGACAAGCATATTAATCACTCGTGTTCATTCTTTGGTAAATAATGATAGGGTCACATCGGTAGTACCAATTAACGTCAGGAATTTTATGTAATTGCTTTATCTATGAAGGCAAGAATGCAACCGGAGACAATTTCTCCGCTATTAAAATTTACTGATCTGATAACACAAGAAGCAGCGTGATGTGCACACAGGGAAGTGTAGGTATTCTTGGTATTTTTCAGCAATGAGTCAGGTGATTTACACAGGCTTATTGGGAATGTATTAGGCGTATTTAAAGTGCCATAATGTGGACGGGGGGTGTGTGCGATAGACTTGCCTCCACGTGGTGCACACTAGGCAATGTATAATCATGCATCAAAAAAGTCTATAAACCGGCAGTTGACTTCTGAGTTCAAGATATCATGACCCCACTGTATGTCATATTCGACCACTTACACAGTATTCCCCTCACCTTTCATCTACCTTTATGTCTGTCTCTTTTATATATTTAAAACACTCTCCTGTTCACCCCCCCCCCCACCTCTCGACTTTTTTCGATTTGATGTTCCTCTCCCTCTGTGAAGCCTGAAGTCAACTAAGTGTCTAATGATAACTATCATAAAGCCTGTCATTTGATATAAATAAATGTGGCCAGGGGTCATATAGAAGTAAATATTAAGTCTATATACAGAAGTCATTGAAAATATTTCCTTGCAAATTGCTTATACTTTGTGTGACAGTGGGATCTTCTTTGTGATTAAAATCATCCATCAGTTATTTCCTCATCAACTTTCTATATTGGCATTGATCCACCTAATCATTTGTGAAGATAATTTACTGCCTTGAATGAGGAACCCTTGCTATTGGTCAGCGTGGTCGCTGGGTTAGCCTAGTTTCAATTTGTTTGTTTGCACAAGGGTAGGCATCTTTGCAAGCCTGATTATGAGGTGGGTACCATTGGAGTCAAATCCCGATGTTTTGAACAAGGTACAATTATTGTTTTCATTTTATCTTTAAGTTTATAAGGGAATTAGGTGTCAAAGAACCCTTGCGGTTGGAAGATGTTTACGGAACGGATCCTGAAATGCAAGCTCTTGTTCCTGGCCCAGTTCTCTCGCTTTTGCTACTCTATCCCTTGAATGAGGAAACTGAAACTAATCCAATTGGAACTTTGTCACCAGAAGAAAAGTGCTTCTTTATGAAACAGACAATCCATAATGCTTGTGGGACTGTTGCGATTATCCACGCTCTTGCCAATAACACGGACGCATTTGATATCAAATGTATGCCATTCTTTCTTTCATTAAATTTTATATTGCGATTCACTCACTTAAATCTTGCATGCTTCCTAGCTGTTCCATGGCTCTGTCAATTCCTTGAAAAAACTAGTGAATGCTCTCCCAAGCACCGCGGTCAAGCTCTTGAGAATGAAGAGGAACTGAGTGAAATACACGAAATTTATGCTCAAGAGGGTCAGACCGAGGCTCCAGATTCGGAATCTCGGATTGATTTGCATTTCATTGCCTTTATTAATGCAAACGGCCATCTTATTGAGCTCGGTATGTTGGTAAAGCTAGTAGCATTACTATTCCTCAACATATTCACCCAGTTAGCAAGTTTGTTTTCATCGTAGATGGCCGAAAAGATGGCCCTATTTTACACGGAGATACCTCCAATGCAACATTCCTTGCGGATGCCTGTAAAGTCATTGATAAATTCATGGCTCGGGACCCCACCAATCTCAATTTCAGTCTCATGGCTCTAACCAATGCTCCCATCTAAGTATTTATCCTACTTGGGAAAAATTTTTGCTGCTTGTTCCAAATTTCTTGGCTGTTTTTCCCCATTTATCCTTGCTCCGTTTCTGTTTTTGCGTGAAGTAAACTTAAATTATCCTACTTTTTTCAATTGAAACATTTTGAAATTATTTATATTTCGATCCAAAAAAAATGCAAAGAATTTTTTCAATCAGTATTTGTAGAAACCACCATGTGGCTGGCGCGCGTAACCTCTATTGCTTTCTTGAAGGTGAACTCCAGCTAGAACAGGTTTAGAGTATCTAAGTAGAATCTTACTTATTGCATTGTTATTCTTTAGTGGGTGGTTCTTCTGTGGTAATTGCCAGTAAGTGAATGGTCTTTCTGGAGGGTGTTCCGGAATTACAACGTCTTGAATCCGATTCAGCAATATTTTTCTAAAAGGTTAGTCATTTTCTGCTTATTGGTTCACTGGATCTTGGTCAAAATCCAGAGGTGAATTAGCAGTGGTGTCGTTCTTCTCTGAAGGTCGTGTCTTACCAGCCCTCCCGTTAACCAGATTAGCTATCTTTGTTAAGCACTCTATCAAAGAGTTTATAGCTCCTTAACTGACTTGTCAGACATGTATGTTACCACTAGATCAACTTGTTTCGCAAGTGAACGAATTATAATCTATTCGAGTTAATTAGATGATAATTTAAATGTTCAAGAGAGTACCAATTTATCGATATAATTATGAGTTTCCAAGGACCGATGCAGAAGTGCGTGCTAAACGTGACTCAAAGACCTCCAAGAACCAACATCTGCCCAGTAACGGGATCCTGACTTGTTTAAGAATATGCAAGTAAATTATGCAAATACGTGAGGCTTCATATGTGCTCACACATCTCGTGTGTTCTTAAATCATGGCCAAATTCATTTAGTTAGTTCTTCTGCCACTGATTCATTCAATACGTGAAATCTATTCACATAACCATTCCAACATTCACGCTGTCGTTCGATCACAGTATTTTTGTTTAAATAAAAGCATTCTTGTGAATTGAATAGACATATTGCAACGGATTCTGCTCACCCATGCCCATTATTGCACGTCTCAGGTTGCACTACTGCATGAGCATTGTCCTTATTCCAGTCTGCGTGTTGGTCATAAATTGTTCTCAAACGTCGCTCAAGCAGATCGCATGGAGCATCGCAATCATAATAGGAGCTCTGAATTTAGAAGTTGGCACAAGATGATGCAATCACTTTACCTTATTTCGAGTCGACTCCAATGTGTGCGTGTAAGCTAATCGTATGTGTGCTGGCTCGGTAGATTTGACTTCATTTGGATTGCTTTTGGGCTTCCGGAATTCGCAGTGTTCTGCTAGCATGTCGGTTATCTTTGAATGTCAAATATTAATTTAGCGTGGTTATCGATTGTTGTAGTGGGTTTTAAATTCACTGTGGATTTAGAATATAAGCACTGGTTTAAGCAATATTTTCAGACGTGGCTGGGGCTAGAGCATTCAATTTTCTCAGTATTTCGCAGTTTTATTCAAAAATATAATGTCACACCAGGGCCTTAATCATAGAATTTTCTCTCCATGTAATGTTTGAAGATTCTGAACTCCACCTCCCCCCCCCCCTCCATCCTTCTTTATACTTGCCTATTACGTGTTAACGATAATGGGTCTCAATATTTATCGTTCTTTATAAGATAAATGAAGGTCATTCGCCTCTTCTTCATTAAATGCCTACCTCCAAATTTTGAGGTGGATAAAGGATGCCAAAACACTGTAGAGCGACTACATCATGAATTGATTGACATTGACGGTTTATTATACATTACGTATTGGAAATCGAATTTATTCCAATGGAGTTTATGGATTAAATAATAATCAAGGGTCAACTCGAGACCACTTCAGAATTGATTGGTCAGAACAAATCTACGTTCAAACGCTTAGTCGATAATTTAAAAGAGGGATTAAATTTAACCAACTCTTCTTTTTGCGATCTGTAAGCCTATTTCTCAGCTTAGTGGAAAGGAATATGAATTCTCATTGGTATAGTGGAAGTTTGTATTACAGCATAACATAATTCATATTCGTTCAAGTAATCAATATTTTCATAATAATGAGAAAAAGTTAATTTCATCATTAGAAGCATCGAATATTTTTTCAAAAGCATACTTGCACCGTGTCCATTTCCACTTGAATATTTACCTCCTATTATTTTTATCCACTGCAAACAGCATCCAGAAAGGATTTTCAAATAACCTCATACAGACAAGCCTAGGGAGTGAGGGGGGGATGATAAGCCTTGAAGTCCAATAGAAATACGGAAGTTAGAAAGTTGGATCAAGGAGCGTTTAAGGGCACGTCATTGAGGGTAACTACCATCTCCCCAAACTTATTACCTGATCACTGTTCGATCAGGTCTGTCAGCTTAGTGGCAGTAAATTTTAGTTTCGAGTTGGTAGGTCACTCTAAACTCCCTAGCTGAAAAGTATTTAGTGGCTCAAGCCTCAGTAATTGCCAAAGTGCTTATTGGAATTCAATGAGTCTATCTCCACTCTCCCTCTACAAAGTTGAGTAGGTAGGATTTGCTAAAAATGTACTTTCTGTGAAAATTTTTCACACACATTTACTAAGCCTACACTAAGATTGCGACAAAATTGTATTGCTTTGTTTTTGAGTGAAGTTGCATTGTTACTTTTCTTGTTAAAAAGAGATGACTCTACGAAATTTCATCGCAGTCACTTAAGACCTATTGGAATTTGTCCGATCAGAAGTATAATTTTATTTGTTCTACTTAAATTTCATAAGTAGAAAGTAACGGATGATTACATCTTAGGATATGAATGTCATCGCTAGCTTCCAAATTTTTCTGAATGAAAAGAACTAAGATTCACTTTTAAGTTAGTCGATTTTTAACCTGTCAACAGCTTGATTTATTGCTTGAAAATTGTGAAAGTTAATGGGGATATATGTAAAATTTTTATTCGATTTGTGGGCCATTTTGTATTTGAAGTTGTCTAAATAGTCCATCTCAATCTGTTCAAAATTCAAACGTATTAACGGCTTTTTAAATAAAGCCTAAAATCACTTTAATTAGATTCTAGTAGTGTGGAGCATCGAATGATTTGTGTATTGGCAAACGTTTCATCTAAATGCCTGAAATCCTGAACGAATTTCCCAAGCTCATCTTTAGAAGGGAGGAATCTTTTGAGTGACTCGCCTTCTAGAACTCTACTCATCGTGGTGTTCACAGGAGTGTAACGATGGCACTGTTTTCTTGCACTTTTATGTAATAGTCTTGTATGCCGATCACGACGCCACTATATTCACCTATTGACTATCTGTGTGACTTTCCGCTTGGTCAAATAATTTTTTTGTAAACAAATTTATTTAAGCTAACCAGACCAGCAGCTTCTTATTTCTATCTATGCCAGATAATGGTGTTCCATAAAATCTCTTTAATGCTTTCAAGAATTCTATTTTCTGGGCACACCAAAATATGCGCTTATGAGCCGCAGAGTTGAGGTCTGTGAATTAAATCGTTGTTCCTTTCAACGTCTAGTGGAGTGAATTATTCACACGCTTTTAGATTTACTTCAACTAGCGTAAACATGGGCCCCATTGTGATAATGCTACGTTAGATTTGTGAAAGCTGGTTTGACTATTTCAGTAGGCTATTCCTCTTATGCTTACATCTCTATCAGAATCCAACCAGACAGTTTCATCTACAGCCATATGCCTTTCATCCTTACCTTGACACCGGATGAATTTATCTAACAGCCCTCTTCCGGAACAGAAAAATCGCTGACCGTCTTGCACACGGACATGTTCAATGTATTCAAAAGTCAAAATCTCTTGAATTTTAGGTGAAACAAAATAGGTTGGTGAGGTTGGAGAGCTGTAAACGTTCTTTTGGAACCTGTCGGACTCATCATTGCATCAGAATTGTGTTGGTTGAATCACTTTTTCTGTCCTTCAGTGTTGAAAGTAAGCTTATAACATTGGACGTTGTGTTTGATGAGTCTGCCAAATCAATCAAACACCATGTTGTTTCCCGATCATGTTTCTTATCAAGTGCCTTTTTCAGGTCCATCAAGGTGGAACAAAACGGAAGTTTCTGATCAAGAGCTCGAACACTTAATATTGCTCCATTGGCTGACGTTTCCTTACGGAAACCAGATAGCGATGGACCATGCGATCTCAAGTTGCTATTGGCAACAGCTACATAGAGCTTATTGGCTGTTATTAAGCCTAATACTTTTTAATTACTATTTTGATCCTTCATTCTATTTCCCTTGTCAACTCTTTCACGTGTGATCGATCAAATATTAAAAGTATAGGGGTCTCAAACTCCCACCTCCTCCCTCCACCCTAATTGATGGGCTCGTATATTAGGGCGCTTAAATTTTATTAAGTGCATTAATGCTTTATATTCCCTTAAATTCTCTTGGTTAAACTTAGCACGCTTACACCAATGATATCAATTGACATTTTCCCTAAGTACACAATGACATTCTTTGCGGAAATCAATAATTCACACTCTAGAACAATAAACCACAGAGTTGAAGGCTGAAAACCTAGTGGTCGTAAACTCTAAGTTAATATTTAAGACTGAAGGGCTTTCGGTTGAGAGGAAAAGTGACTAGACATTAGTAAGGCTTAAAGGGGGTGAATTATTCCCACACTTTTAACCTCCACTGAACTCAAGTTAGATAAATACTAACGCATTGTTCGCCGTGCAGTGCAGCAGGCGTGGGTACAATAGACACACTTTTGGGTCCAATTTGGGTTATGATTCAACCCTCCCTCCCCCCAATAGATGTGCGTGCGTGAGAATAGTGCGGTCCATTAAATGGAGCACTGCTGAGCTAGTTTGCTCCCAACAATGTGGTGCCTTTGAAGAGTTAATTCTATACTCAAGTCAAACTTCGTGGGTAGTTAACTATTGCTCCTCATTCTACCCCTCCCCCCCCCCAATTCTATCGCTTTAAAGATGTCCTTATTGGACACATTGAGGAGGCGCAAAGAG